TATATATATATATATATATCACTATGCAATATCTCTTGTTATTACTTAAAAATGTTTTATTTATATTTGTAACAAACGAAATGGTATATCTCTTTCGGAAGAAAACGATCGCGCCTCGATCGATCGGTTATTCGATTTGAATTGGACGTTGTGCGTTTGCCTAGCAAGTACGTGTGCGGAGAGAAGGATCGGATAGCAACGAGTGCCACAGTCTGATGAGGAATTCGAATCACAGAACCGGACTCGTAAATCAGGTTACCTCAGGCCGCCTCTCGATATCTGATTGTTTTATCGCTATTTACAAGTGTAATTTCGGCTTATAAATCATGGAAAAAGAAACGGCTATAAATTTTGCAAGGCAACCAACCGATCACGGCGACGACGACGACGAAGACGCATTAATTCGTCAAAGAACTGACCAGGAATGAGTTAGAATGAAAAAAAAAAAAAAAAAAACCCCATACAGCCGCGGAAAGCGTCAAACAGTAATACACGATACATCGGACAACATATCGATTATTCTTTTTGTGCGATAGGAAGAGAGAAAAAAAATGTGAGAGCGAGAAATCGCGAAAGAGAGAGAGAGAGAGAGAGAAAGAAAGAAAAGTAACAAAGAGTATCGGCATATGTGTGATGCTGTCTTGTGGATATTATTGTCGCTTACAGTCGTAGGTTTTTGCTATTAATTAAATCGCGAGAGGACGCTCATTCACGGAAGAGAAAGAGAGAGAGAGAGAAAGACACACGGTCGCGGTGCAGTGCGGTGGTATAATCCGTGCAAGATAAAAACGATATTCGACAGTTAACTCTTGCGACTGAGATGGACACACACGAGGCAAGGGTGAAGCACAGCGATCGTTAAGCTTTTACGCTCGGCCGCAGCGAGCGAAGCAGTAAAAGAGAACCAAATAGATCCGGGCATCTAGCTGTGACGCGCTTATGAATAAATTGCGGCGAGGAAGCGGCGGCGGAGCGACGCTTTCAAATCCGCTAACAGGATTTTTCTGGAAGTTCAATTATTCGCGCGACAAGCATCGGGTGTACAACCGCATAAACATGACGGAACGAAAATACAGAACGTGCGATTTTAGCAATTTCGAGAAAAGTGAAACATCGAAAACGTCTCTGTGAACACAGAAGGGAAAAACACAAAGGACAATTCTAAACACACGATGTAAACGAAACAGAAGGCGAAGCTGCAGGCCGGAGAAAATTCTCTGGCATCTATACGCGCATCTATCTGTCTGTCTGTCTCTCTCCTTATACATATATATAAGTATATATATAAGTAAGTATAATGAATTTATTTATGCTTTTGAAGGCAATCTTTGATATACTAGTGTGTGTTTCATTTTTGATGCACAATTTTCAACAACGTCTTAAATTTTTCGTTTTTGTGTTCGCTACTAACTTCAGTAACTCAGTTAGTCAATTAACTTAACGGCGCGTATGTAATATTGTTAACTTTACGAAAATTAATATTTTGCAAAAAATAGAGGGACAAGTTTTTCAGCGTTTTCAGTTTTCCACGGTTTTTACGGTTACATGGCACATGATCGACTTTCAGAGAAAAGATATATGAATGCAAGAACTAACTTTTTCATTTATTACAAAAGCGTTATATAACACAATGCAGGTACAAAGTTATTAAAAGTGAAACACAAATTCTAAAGGGATAAAATAAATTTTGTGATTTTCTATATTTTTACCGACTTAGTGTATTTTTAAACGCCAGCAATAACGTGAACACTCTGCATTCTTATACGTAGTTATTACTAAAAAGTACGCAAAGAAAAAATACGTCTTGTATATATGAAAAACATCTTAGATCAGTATTAAAAAGTCCATTAAAACTTAAAACTACTGGAGTTGTCCGTATATGTGTGTATGTGTATGTATCGATCGCCTCTCCTACCTTACTTCTATATAACAGTAAATACACAGGTAGATCGTTTTTACAAGCAAATCGACGCTCATTACCGTCATTATGTGTCATTTGGTACATTGCGCCGAAGTGATCGTAAAAGCGTGTAATTCTTGGACAACCGCGCGAACTGGTATGAAATAAACGTTTTCCACGCGATCTTAGCCGATATTCCTCAAGTTTCGCATTACTTGCCAAGAGAGAATCTTACTTTTATTTTCTCTTTTCTTTTGTAATCTCGCGAAGAGCGAGTATCACAGTTTCGCGAAGCGAGAAGCTAAATACTTAGGCACGTAAAGCGGAAACTCGTAAAATAAGAAGAAACCGCTCATCTCACCTTCCTTCACTTTTCCCCGCGTTGTGTGTTTATAAGTACTTATTATTTGACGAGATTAATTAGAAAAAGAAATGATAAAAAACCTATTAATGATAATTTTGAAGCAAACATAATACACATACGCACACACATGTGAAAAAAATAAGAGCCATTAACAAATTAAATTGAAATTCGCAGACAAAGCAAAATGAAGATAACATTAGTTTGAAAATAATTACGAGATGTTTCTTTATATAGCAAATGTTATTTAAATATTTATTAATATTACTTATAGAGAGAAAGAGCGAGAAAAATGCAACTTTGACGTCCTCCGACTTAAAAATACAGAAAAATATATTATAACATTTCTCTTGCAAACATCGTTTAGCGCGGCAGTTATCTTTGGACAAACGTGCTCGGTATATTTCTTCGCAGAATAAAAGCTCGGGCGTATGTTTTTTCTTTCTATTCTTTTTTCTTTTTTCTCTTTTTTTTTTTTCTACTTTGCGACCGCATTTTATAAATATTTCGCGATCGAGCGTTCAACTGAAAATCACTTTGTGCCCGAGCAGGCAGTGCAGGCGTTAAGTATCTGCAACGATGCAAAATCTCTTTTGTGAGATTAAAAACGGTTAATTGGACGAGACGCCTCGTTTGTGACGATAGCAGTAAGCGTTCATTGACCACCGCTCGTCGAGAGTATTATCGTTCCGTCGTGTTCTCTCTTCGTCTGCCGTACGCCGATAAAAATAACCGCACGAGTTTTCCTTCCGAGTTTCGTCGGTTTTATATCGGATATTGTCAAACGATTCGTTTTCTCGTCAAAAATGCGCAAAACGAAATCGAGGGGCGAGCTCGAAAACGCGTGCATTAGTCGCAGCCAGCAGCATGCTCTCTTTAGCACGACCATGAACTTGACCCTGATTCTTCATCCGACCCACATCAACTCAGACCAAGCGGCAGCTATACGTAAGGACAGTGGCAGAGCGAAGCCAGTTTTCCGCTGAGGAACTCGGCCATGCAAGAAAGAGCGGAAGAGCGGAAGAGCGAGAACGAGAACGAGGGGTGAGAATGAGGGTAAAGTTGAGGGTGACCATGGTTAGGTCCTCGCCGAAATAGACAGAGTTGATTCATCCTTTCTCTCTCTCTCTCTCTCTCTCTCGACAAGAAGACTCGAGCGCAAAGTCCCTCGTGGCTAGGTCAAACTGTCTCGAAGCAGTTCACCGGATTTTCCAGATACCTACACCTTGTTATACAGATCAAACGTTGCTGCAATACCAATCTTCCTCCTTTACTCGTGTTTTCGATCGACAATGATGCATACGCGACGGAAAAGTCGAGGTACAAAGCTACACGATGGTTACTGAAAATGCTGATTCAGGATCTTCATGAATATTTTTAGAAAAAAAAGATAATCCATAGTTTACATATTTTACATAACTTTCCTCCTTTTTTATGTCGCACACTGTACTTTCGTTCTGTTGTTTTTCGTGAGCGAAGAGGAAACTTATATTCTTTGATAAATTTTATGAGTGAAGATATAACAAAGAGAAAAAAGAAAAATGTATATTCTCATTCTCTGTCTTCTCGCGGCGTGTTTCGTATTTTTCTATCGGTCGTTTTGGACCCCGCGCTCGATTCCCCGGGTAAGTCGAAAAGCAAGAAGGGGAACCTCTCTCTCTTTCTCTCTCTCTCTCTCTCTCTCTCTCTCTCTCTCTCTCTCTCTCTCTCCGTTAGGCGGGAATGCATAATTCATATCTCACTTGCGATTCGCCAGAGTGCAGATCCTTCCACGAATCCGCTTTTATTTTGATTCGGCTCGGAGTTACTTTTGTTATTAAAGGAAACTTCGCTGAGCGCGCGCGCGCGTTTCGTACGTCTACGATTATGCAACTTCGATCGATGTTCAGGCATTTTTTACGAGCTGTCTATTAAATATACAATCTTCTCCAATCAGAATCTCTCTCTCTCTCTCTCTCTCTCTCTCTCTCTCGTTGATTTTGTTCTCCGTAATTAAGAGCGCAAATGATAATGGATATACTCGATGAATAATATCGCGGCTGATTCCTTCCGTATAAACAACTTGAGGGATTTTTTATCGTTGTACCTCTACCGAAACGAACATCAAGAATTGATCAATCTCGGGAGTGTTTTGCGATGAGGAAGCTTATTAAATTTCATTCCTTGTCGGAACTGTTGGTAGCTCGTGCCACGGGACGGCGATAAAATTAGACAAATACTGGAAGATCGATAATCGTAATTTATCAAACTAAAAAAACAAAGAATAACATCGGCAAGAAAGGGAAATAAGCTGTTAAAAGCATAAAAAATCTATCGAAAAAGCAAAGTAATATTAATTATGTCTCGCCGAGTTCTCCGATTCTCGTATTGCTCCTGATACTTAATCGATTTTTAACGGAAAAATACTGGAAAATAAGAACGAGAATACAAAGAATACTCTCCGATTAGGTTACACACGACAAAAGTGACAAACACGACGATGTAAATCCTCCATTTTTCGTTATCAGCAACTTCCGCGCGATCTGACGTCGCGGCAGTCATCGGGATAGACTGGCCGTAAGTTTTTGACGGGGACTGTACTCGCGCTGGAAAATCCATTTCGTTTTAACTTTACGTTCAAATTGAATGTTTTGTAGTTGTGTGTCGACTTGGGTGAGATGTAGCTGCCGGGGGTAGAAAACGAGGGAGGGATGGGTAGATGGTTGACGTGGTGGAAGTTGATAGAGGAGGGAACATAGTGGTGGTATGAGGATGGTCAGAGGAGAGAAGAGGGGACCTGAAGTCTAGAGGGTAGGCGGGTGAGTGGAAAGGGGATTGCGGAGGTACCAAAGGAAGAAGACCGTATTCCACTTGCGCTCTCTCTCTCTCTCGTCCCCTCTTCTCTAAATCACATTCATCAGAAGCGGACGGCCGCGCCGTTCCATTCCGCTCCTCTCTGCTTCATCCTGCCTCGCGTCATACTAGGGGTGGTACATGGTGCACGGGGATACCGAAGAAGGTGCAGCGCCCCGCGATGAGGTATAGGTGAGGGGTGCAGATCCGTATACCGAAGAGGAGAGAGGAGCGAAGAGGGCGAGCGAGATGGTCGATGAAGGGAGAGACAGGGGTATAAGGGAGAAAAAGAGAGAGAGACGCGCGGATATTGATTCCCGCGGGATATGCGCGCGTTCAACGAGACTCGGAAGTCTGAAAACGTACGTATGCTGTTTTTAAGGATGTACATGCATAGGTCTTGTAGAACCGCCGTTGTATCGCGATTCAAAAGTTTCTTGAGCACCTTCTCCCAAGGAATGTTTCGAAAGATCGTTTCATTAATTGTAAACTGTTGCAGACGTACAACATGGTTGCCAAAATTAAATTTTTAAAATGCAACGGTAATGCGGAAAATTTTTATTGTCGTTTTAATCAGAGTCTGTATTTGAATTTTTAAACGCAAAAATGTAACCCGAAGAAAAATATGATGTTGTCGTTTTTATTAACATACCTACTGCTATATTAAGCATAATCGCGATATGGCATAATTGATAATATAATAATCAATAATTGCGATCAAAAACGTACACACTATAAGAACATACGGCATATTTGTTGTTATTAGCATCGAATTCTATAGCCCGCGAGGTAATTTCAGAAAACAGAGATGATTGCGCTCACATAGTGCATAGTTCTTTGACGATCGACGGTTGCACCGTCAATAGTGTTAACGAGATAACACTACGGCATTCAAACACGTTCGAAATATATGTGCGAGATTCGCGTGTAACAAGGTCGAGGGAAATTAGAGCACGACCGGTGTCACGGTAAAATTGCTAGAGAATGTCCGCTTACGCTCGTTTGACGTGGGTGGACGAGCGTATTACAGAAGAGTGAAATGGGAGGGAAAAAATGAAAGTGAAAGAAGCCACGAACAAAAGAGAGCCAGCGAGTGGAACGATATGGCGAGGGATAAGGACGGTTTTAAGGTTGTAATCTTTAGACGGCGGGTGCGGATAACGGATGTACGTGGCATAGGGGAGACCCTCTTAAGAAAGCTCAGAGCTAGGACGTCGACGAGAGGCATGGGAGGAGAAGAGAGAAAGAGTCTCTGGAGAAGAGAGGAGAAAGAGATATCACGTTTGACCCCACGGTCGCGTGATTCCTCTTCCTCGTTTTCGCTCGTTCCCTCCGCGCATCGTTCTCTCTGGCTAGCTGGTTAGATGGCTCGCTCGGGGCGAAAATCCAGCGCGCGTAAACCAACACACCGCACGCCACTACAAACTCCACTCACCACGAACGTCCTCCACTTTGCCAACCAACCCAGCCAGTTCGGGCTAACCACCTTCCTGCCTGCTAGCCTGTCTGCCTGCCTGCCTGTTACCTACTGCCGTTACTACTAATGCCCACTACTACAACTGTATGGCTCCCTTCGTTGTTGATACGCGCGTCACTACCACTACACCAGCGTTGTTCTACCGCCAACACATCCGTCGAGCCACCGCTGCTGCTACTACCGGTGTTGCTGCGGCTACAACCTACGAGAGAGAGCACATTTCATGAATGAAACCCACGTGCGAACCACGTGACTTGCTAGCCGTCACTGACCCTACGTTTACGATGCCAACGATCGGTTCTACTTCGTAATATAACGTTCCGTACACGCCGCTTTCTCGTCGCAGTTTGCCGGTGATCAACTTGACCGCGATGTGACGTTCTATGATACGACGAGTTCTTGAGTAACAGAATCCAAGTATCGACTAAATCTCGTTTCTAGAAAAGTGTTACGCCAAGTGCAGAGCTCTGATAGAAATATTATGTAATTTAAATTTATAGTTACTCGTACTTTTTGATGTTTCATTTAATAAAAAGTTTGTAAAAAAATATTTATATCTACTGCATACGCATGTTTTGTACTAATATTCGCTTCAATTATGACTACCACAAAAATAAAGCGAATTTGATGTAATTTTCTGGTTATTTTGTGTATATTAATATTAATAGTTCACACATACACACACGCACACAAAGTGAAATTAATAAAAATAAAAAATGCAATAACTGTCTCGCATGCACGCAGCAAAATTCTGATTCTATATGTTCCGCTTTGATTCTATATGTAAAAGTAATTCTTAAAAACTTACTATTACTACTATTTATAGAAACGTCACGTGATGATTCACAATGATTGTTTTACACACTACTGAATGACTCGTGCGGGTTTCTTCCATTTCCATGTTGATCGTCCCACACTCATCATCCCCCGCTGTTAGGTAGTCAACTGGTCGCGCAGCAGGAGTCGAAAACGGTGGGTGTAAAATTCATGTCGTGATTTTCTTGTCTTCGTTATCTAACCATTCAGTCACTAGAAACAAAAAATCAATCACGGAAAAAATAGATTCTCCGATCTCTATTTTTGTGCGTATACACTACGTAATCTATGTGTATTGTGACGGAAAAAGGTCGTGCCGAGATATTTTTTTATCTCCAATATCGCTATTGTGTCTCACGTGAGTTCTCGACGATCGAAATCGATAAATATATATTTTGAATAGAAAAGATTTATATACTAATTATATATTAATAATGTTTACACTAGCTAATAGAAGAATAAAATCGATTCGATTTTTTATATCGGATAGTCGCTCTTAATTTGTGATTTGCTCATACTAGGCTCGATCTTGTTCTCCAAAAAAGAAAAAAAATGAGCTTATTCGATACATGACGCTCAGGAGAAGGCAATGAGGCTGCAAAGAGTACAAAGGTGGCATCCATGACTCTAGGGTTTTCGCGGTGCGACGCGGGCCGCTCGTGTTCCCGTCGTAGTCGCGCATACCGTCGAGAAGGAGGGAAGAAAGTCGGTCTGCTCCGCGAATCCCGCGTGAGCGGGAGAAACGGACGTTCGTCGTTGCATCGAACAGCCGAGAGAGAAAACGCGCGAGAGAAACCGGCGAGAAAGGAAAAGAGAGAGAGAAAGAGAGAGAGAGACCTCGTCAGTCAGACAGAACAGGTAGCAACGCCGGGGGTTTTCATGTGGTGGGATGGCCCGCCTTGCCGCTGCACCCGACGGGCACTATCGCGGTAGCACGCGTAAGCGCGCGATGTCGCGATGTTGCACGCGCGACCTAACCTAACCTAACCTGCTTATACCCGACGGCAACCGTAACGCTCCGTTTACACATCCGTAATCCGTGCCGCACTTGGGGGGTTGCACGGCTCGTCTAACCTTTGAGGATCTATCCGCGTGTTGTTCGCGCCCGCGCATCCAAGAGAAAAGAGAGATAGAGAGAGAGAGAAAGTTTCCTGGCCGCTTCTCCGCTACCCCTTCGTCGATCAACGTTACTAAGCCACCACTGCCGCCGTCGTCGTTGCCGCTACCACCGCCGCGATCGTTCGGTCGCGCGCGCGATAGCCAGCGGACCGGTCGGTTTTCACCTTCTTTTGCACAAACCGCACGAGGCGAGAAAGAAAAAGAAAAGAAGAGAGAGAGTCTCGCCTCGCACTTGCGTCTCGCCTGGCACCTGCTCAACCTCGACTGGTGACGATCGTGTCTTGTCGTCCACGTGCTACGTCGACGGTTTATTTTGAGCCGCGCGCGTACACGCCGCGCCGATCGATCGCGCGATCGACAGTGGTCGAGAGAGAGAGAGAGAGAGAGAGAGGGAGGGAGAGAAAGAGAGAGGAGCGCGAGATATTGCGACGTGGCTTTCCGATCGACGCGACTCGCAATCGATAAGTATACCGCGCGCGCTGTTTTTGCCGTCTATTTTCATTTCATTTTCAATTAATAAAAAATTCAGAGGTAATCTTTATTATCTTTGAAGTTGGCCGCGGATAGATGACTCTCGCGACACGCTCGATCAATTTCGATAATCGAAAGCGTCGAGGTTAGTCGGCGTTAGATCGCGCGAAGTGGTCAGCTAGAAATTTATTCACGCGCGAGTCGTTGACTCTCACGGTGGTGTTTCGTGCAATCACGCGCGATCGCACAAAAGTAAATACGTAAAGCTTAAGTAGTAGCATATAAATCCTAAAAAAACGCAACGCGAGAGAGGAGGAGAACCACGCAAGAAAACCACAACGGGCTTTTTTGTGAGATTATCTCGATCATCGTCGAGTGTGTCACGCGACACGGGAAGACTAACTTCGCGTCGTCGGTGCGCGCACAACGACGACAACGACGACGACGACGAGGACGACGACGACGACGACGACGACGACGGCAAGTCGTACAATGAGCGACGGTATAGTCGGTGCAATCGCGATCAGTTTGTTCGGTATTAGTTTTTGTCAAGCTATGTGTTTTGAGAGTGTGTGATCGATGATGGCTTTTCATTCACAAGGACTCGTTCCAGGCGGTGAGAAGAAGCGTCGGGTCAGCATGGACGCCGGTTACTCCGTTCTCAATAGCGATCTCGACGCCTGCAGGATGTTTGACCAGTACGCTTACAAGGTGAGTGTTGTGCAAACGACACTAAGACGCGCGATCGCCGATTTTTTTTTTTTTTTTAACGGTTTTTAGATCTGCGCGCGTGTAAAGATAATCGATAATTCGCACGAGAGAAAATCAAAAATCAGCTTTTTCACGAATACGGTTAATTTACCGGACAAATTCGAGATAAACGCGTCGCGCAAACTTGTAAGACAGTTATCAAAAATAATATCGCCATTAATCCGTGTTTCGACTCCGGAAGGTTCAGATTGCGGATGTTGTTGCGTGCTGTAACCATTTTATATACGCGCATAAATAATCCTGCAAAATAAAGCGTTTACGCTAACACTAGCCGCGGTAAATATTGTTTTTTTTTTTTAATTATACTTGCCGACGCGTTGTAACGAAAAGCTTACAACTTTTGGAGCGCATTGCGTTCCGCGTGCACGTTGGCTTCTAAAGAGCGTTTGGAACTGCTGCGAATGATGATGTCATTCGAGATAGAGTTGTGATCTTGATATTACACATCATCCCGCGTGGCACGGAAAATAGTTTTACGCAATCGGCATTGTTGTAATTATACTCGTAGATGCGAAAAAGACAGAGCCGAGATGGAACAAATGATTCATCAATTACTCGAGAAACGATAAAATAGAAAACTTTCGTGTTTATTAATCCTGTGTCAATGTTTAAATAATCAAAGATAAAAAATGGTAAACATTATAATGTGCAAATAACGCTCGTATATTTATTTGTATTAGAAATTCAAGTAGTTTCGCGCATAAAAGTATGTTGTTCTCCCCTTTTTCATCTTCCCGAATTGATTGTCGGTTAAAATGACGATGTACTTTTCGCCGCGAGATCGCGATCTCTACGCGATTTACAGGAGAAGCAATTATCACTCATATAACAATACTTCGAGGAGAGATTGGTATAAACATCAAATGGTAAAAATCAAATCTCGAAGTTTTACATTAATAAATTTTCCGCACGAAGCGCCAAAAAATGTGAATCAACAAAGACAAAAAAATATCGCAGAAGCACGTACACGCGCGTGCAGTCGCGTTGGTTATAACGACGATGTACATTATCACGCGTAGATCCTCGCTCGGGTTGTTAATTCCTCGACGTTCTCTATATCCCGAAGTGCCTTTCTTTCTCGATCTTTGTATTCTAAAATAAATCGTTGTATACTTTTGTCTTCATGTGTACCTTTGAGAAAAGATTCTCTTTTAGAAATCCTCGGCACATGGAAAGATACACAAAACTGTGCACACAAATATTAAGTCGAAGCAAAACATTTCTCTTTATATTTGTGATATAAGATTGAACCAATGTTTGTTAATCAAGTCGACGTTGTGGCTTCGATGTTTTTTTTTCGTCTGTAAAAACAGTTGCGCAATGCTTTATGCAAAACTTTGCTCGCAGAATTTAGAACGTGTGAAGTTTTATTTTCAAAAAACTATACCTTTGCTTTCCAAAAAAAACTCCCAACATAGATTTTACACCAACCTGATGTGCGTATATGTTACGTGCAGATATTAATTTATAATCGCGATAGAGTTACACGAGTTTGTAATTGCAACGATTGAAAAATGTGGTTAATTTTGCGCCGATTCCTTGGTATTCGATAGTCGGCATTCCGATCTGTGTTTCTGCCCTCATTCATCCCCCGCATCATGAGGGGCCCCTCCCTTTCTTCGCTTCCACACTCTTCTCTTCTCACCCCTTTTGTCTCACTTACTCGTATATATTGCTCTCTACCCTACTACTATCTTCAGCAACAGCAGCAGCAGAACCACCACCACCATCACCACCACCACCACCACCACCACTACCACCACCACCACCACCACCACTATCACTGCCACCACCACCACCACCACCACCACTACCACCACCACCA